GTAATCCATGATCGAAATGTTCGTTTTTTTTTTGTAATCCATGATAGAATTTTTTGTTTTTTGCTTTTTTGTAACCCATGATAGAATTTTTTATAATCCATGATTGAATTTTTTGTAATCCATGATCGAATTGTTTTTTCTTTTTTTGTAATCCACGATTGAATTTTTTGTTTTTTTTTGCTTGTTTTTTTTTGTAATCCATGATCGAATTTTATGTAATCCATGATCGAATTTTATGTAATCCATGATCGAATTTTATGTAATCCATGATCGAATTTTTTGTAATCCATGATTGAATTTTTTGAAAATTTGTGATTTTTTTTTTTAATCCATGATCAAATTTTTTTTTGTAATCCATGATAGAATTTTTTGAAAATTTGTGATTTTTTTTTTTAGTCCATGATCGAATTTTTTTTTGTAATCCATGATAGAATTTTTTGAAAATTTGTGATTTTTTTTTTAAAATCCATGATCGATTTTTTTGAAAATTTGTTTTTTTTTTTTTAATTCCATATTATTCAAAGAGAAACTGAGAGAGATGATGATTCTGAGGCCACCCTATCTCAGCCATATTATTCACATATCGAGTCCCAACAGCAACAGTGTAGGGATGAGCACGACAGTGCAGGTGAGTATGAAGGATGGACAATCTTCGGGGATTTTAGATTGGAAACACAACAAAACACTAACACTCGGGGATTTGGGAATAGTCAGACACCTGTTAATATCGATGATTCGTTTTTAGATCGAATCAATGAATTGTTAAACGAATTCAATCAATGGCACCAGCGTGACCAAGAAGAACAATAACGTCGTCTATCATTTTTATTTTTAGATCATATGTTACTAATTTTATGCTTTATTGTAGTCCATGAATGTTGATATACTTATTCCATGATAATTATATGTTCATCCTTTTGTGTGATGTAAATTAAATGCTGAATGGCGGTTCATGCTGGGAAAGAACATATCAATATTCGCATATTCATTCAAAAACATGAAAATTCTTAATGGAGTACCCTCATTTCTTATTGAATTCCTAAAAAACAATATTTATAATGAATTTTAATAAATTTTTCGGATTTTTTTTAAGCTTTATTCTGACCGATTCACCCGATTCTCGATCCGGATCGCCGATTCGCCGATCCGGATCGGTTTTTTGAAAGCCCGATCCGGGTCACCGATCCGTTTTTTAAACCATTGGTTTCTACATGTGTAAGAACAACTGATAAGATTTAGAATGAAGAAAAGATAACCTTTGACTGAAGAAAAGATTTTTACATTGTTCGCAAACACGTACCATGAAGTCAATAGAGTTAGTAAGCAATAGGTAGAGAGCAAGTGACCCACTGTGAATGATAAACAAGCTGATGCACTCGCAACTGAGAGACCCTTTCTTGTCAATTGTAGTGGTCCAAGCTTCATAACTGAGTAAGAATAACCCTCCAATGACTTGGGTAGGCTAGGTAATCCTATCATAGATGGTGGTGGTGTTCTTGGTTGAACCAGTGGGGGTACACCATCAGAACCCAATGCCAACATTATAAACAGAATTCCTGAAAGGAAAGCCACTCTCCCCAATTGGTCCTGCAAAAACAAATAGAGACATGGCTCAATAAAGACCATCTTCTTATCATATTCAACTCAAACCATTTAATAGAAGGGTGGCCTTTGTATGTCTATCCACAGTTCCACATATATATCTTATCTATTTGGAACCATCCAACTATCAAGTCATGATCAGATAGAGAGTGAGTCGGCCATAATGTTACATATTAATTATGGCCAAATAAACACAATTGACACCATCCTGTTACATTGTTCTCAACTCAATTTTTTCCATTGAAACAAGATCGTACAAGTATAAATTAAGACACAAAGAAAGGTTTCACTTGATCAAATGTCAAGTAAATTTACCTACAACAAAGGAAAATTCACTGAAAATTTAAGTTTTATCACCAAATCTCTAAAACACATATATAATCACTACCGATTAATCTAAATTTTAAAAATTATACCTTCCAAATATGGTCAGGAAGAGCCCATATAGATAAAAGAGAAAGAAAAGCAACCAAGCTTGACCGTATCACAATATTGGAACTTGCTGGTAACACTACCAAGGCCAGAAGCCACACCTGCAAAACCCAAACAGAAACATAATTCACAGATAAAAATACCAACTTTAATTTATTTTACAAGCAAAATACCACCGTTATTGTGATATAGCATACTGACTTGTTAAACATTAATGTGTAATAAACAGCTAATTTGATTTGATCAAAAGATGAACATCTAATTTAACAACAAGAAAGGAAGAACATAACAACTGTGTATGCCACAGAGAGAGAGAGAGAGAGAGAGAGAGAGAGAGAGAGAGAGAGTGGCAGACTACTAACCTAACTTTACTACGTACGGTACCAGTAAGAAGTAGAACGTAAAAACGTTACGGTTTAGGTTTTTACTAGTAGTAAGTTACGG